TTCAGTTGTTGTGTGCGGCTGTTATGATTAGGAGTTATCGCTGCAAACATTTGGTTATGTGGTATATCATGTAATTTCACCTAAGGTTGCAGGTATGGGTTATCACAGCTTGTTTGGGCTTATTCACAGTATAAATGTGAGATTCTGATCGCATTGAAGGTTTTAGAAGTGGAAAATGTGATTCTATGGTTTTTGGATTGGATTGGGTTGTGAAATCTTAGTTTCTATGTGTTACCAGACCTATATGAGATAGGGTGACGTGGAATCACCCCCGGGTATGTGCATGGTAAGGTTATTCAGCAATTGGTCGGCTTCTGGAACAACTCTGGGCACGTTCGAGGACGAACGTTTGTTTAAGTTGGGGAGGATGTGACGACCCGACCAGTCGTCTCATGAGTTACTGCTCCGTTTCCCCCATTTCTGCTTCTTTATGTTTTGTTATCTGTGTTTTGAGGTATCGGGTTGGTTGGATTGAATCCGGGTTGCTTTGGAGAGGTTTGAGACACTTAGTCTCTTTTAAGAAGGCTTAAGTTGGAAAAGTCAACTGGATGTTGACTTATGTGTTAGAGGGCTCGGACGTGAGTTCCGATGGTTCTGTTAGCTTCGGGAGGTGATTTATGACTTAGGAGTGTGATCGGAATGGGTTTCGGAGGTCTGGAGTAGAATTAGGCTTGAATTGGCGAGGTTGATATTTTGGCGATTTCCGGTTGGTAAGTGAAATTTTGATCCGGGGGTCGGAATGGAATTCCGAGGGTTGCAGTAGCTTCGTTGTGTCATTTGGGATGTGTGTGCAAAATTTCAGGTCATTCGGACGTGGTTTGGTTGGGTTTTTGATCGAAAGCGTATTTCGGAAGATTTTTAGAAACTTAGGCTTGAATTCGATGTGTTTTGGGTAATTTGATGTTGTTTGAGGTGTTTTGATGATTGGAGCAAGTTTTTATAAGGTTTTAAGAGATGTTGGTGCCTTTGGTTGAGGTCCAGGGGGCCTCGAGTGAGTTTCGGATGGTCATTCGGGGCATTTTTGGAGATTGAAAGTTGCAGAAATTTAAGGTTCAGTGTTGCAGAGATTTATCTCTTCGCGTTCGCGAAGAAGGAATTGAGAAAAGCCAGGAATTAGCCTTCGCGTTCGCGAGATGGGCTTCGCATTCGCGGAAGGCTGGGATGCAGTGCATCGCGTTCGCGAGAGGGTATCCGCGATCGCGTAGAGTAATTTGGGATCGAGGTTCTTGTGTTCATCACGTTCGCGTAAGGTGTGTCGCGTTCGCGTAGAGTAAAATTTGGTCAATACGAGTTTGTGCTTCGCGAACGCGAGAGTTTGACCGCGTTCGCGAAGAAGGGAAGTCAGACCTGGGCAGAATGTTTTTAAGTCGTCTTGTCCGCGATTTTGGGTCTATTTTCACCCATAGTTGATCATTTTGAGAGCTTTTTGAAGGAGATTAAAGAGGGTTTCAAGGGGAAACCACTTGAGGTAAGATTTTTGGACTTAAAACTCGATTCTATCGTGAAATCTACCTAGAAAATCATGAAAACTTAAGCTAAAAATGGAAGAACTAGGGCTTGGAATTTTGGACCTTTAATTTGGGATTTGAAGGGTCATTTGTTGACAGATTTTGATATTTTTGGTATGTATGAACTCGTGGGGAGATAAGAAACCTATTGGTGTAAAAATTTCTGAGTTTGGAGAAATGGACCCGGGGCTTTGGTTTTGCTAATTTCAGGATTTTTGGTATTTTTCGATTGTTTTCGCTTGGGCTTTGTTCCCTTGGCATATTTTGACGTCTTCGTTCTGATTTTGGATAGATTCGACGCGCGTGGAGGCCAATTAGAGGGGCAAAGGCATCGCGAGCTAGAGATGTAGCCGGTTCGAGGTGAGTAATGGTTGTAAATGATATTCTGAGGGTTTGAAACCCCGGATTGCACATCGTAGTGTTATATTGAGGTGAGACACACGCTTAATGACGAGCGTGGGGTCGTGCACTATTGGGGAATTGTGACTTGGTCCGTCCCGATTGATGATTTTACCGTGTATTTGATTGAAATCTATTTGCTATCATCATTATTTGGGCTCAATGCCATATTTGGGCTCCGTGCCAATTATTTGAACCCTTCGGGGATTGTTGTTGATTTTCCTCACTGTTTGACTTTATACTTGAACTCAGTCATGTTATTTCCACTGTTTTCCAAACTCAGCCATGTTTTCTCTGTTTTAATAATCAAATGATATTTAAATGATGTTTTGGGCTGAGAAATATTGTTTTACTGTGCCCGAGAGGCTTATGTGATTTTTGACTGAGTAAGGCCGAGGGCTTGTGTTGTGAGGATATCTTTGGGATCGGGCTGCACGCCGAAGCGGTGATACATATCTTTGGGATCGGGCTGCATGCCGCAGCAGTGATACATATCTTTGGGATCGGGCTGCACGCTGCAGTAGTGATACATATCATTGGGATCGGGCTGCACGCCGCAGCGGTGATACACTGATTTGATTATGAGGCCGAGGGCCTGTTTATGATGCCACGAGATGGCTTGATATTGCGCTTGGGCCGAAAGGGGCCCCTCCAGGAGTCTGCACACCCCTAGTGAGCGCGGGTACCCAGTGTGATGTGTGATATAGCCCGAGGGGCTGGTTTTGTTCTATGTTATACCCCGAGGGGCTGGTACCGTTCTGAGATATTGCCCGAGGGCCGGAGTTGTTGACATTGTGCTCGAGGGGCGAACCTTATGTGCTTATCTTTCTTATTTGCCTGCCATTTACTTGCTTAATTATGTATTTTTGCCCGAAGGGCGGATTTCTGTGCTTATCTGCACTAGTTGTTCTGCATTCATTTGCGTAACTGTTGAAAAAGGTATTTTTAAAAGGGTTTAAACTGAGCTAAGATGTTTTAAAGGATTTTACAGCTTCATTGCTTCTCTTACTGGTTTTGAAACTGCTTCTATATAGCATGTTGATGCTCTTTTCGTGATTTCTTATCACTCAGTCTTTATTTATGATTATTACTCACTGCATTGTAGTACTCACTTTACTCCCTGCACCTTGTGTGCAGATTCAGGTATTTTCTGAGCTTGGTAGCAGTTGTCAGTGGAGTTAGCAAGGTAGCTGGCGGCGTTCGCAGCACATCTTTCCCTCTCTTCATTCTATTAGGTTGTACTGAGTACATTTCATACCTTGTCAGTTGTATTTAGACTTAGTAGATGCTCATGACTAGTGACACCCCGTTTTGGGCTGTGTTTGGGTTGTACTTCCGCATTGTTATGATATTATTCGTTGTTTAGCGTTATTAAATCATGTTTTAGCCTGTTGTATTGTTGTTTAGCTGTTTAACTTCGAATTGGAAATGTGTCGGCTGGCCTTGTCTTCACGAGAGGCGCCATCACGACCAGGTCTGGGTTTAGGGTCGTGACAATTTAATTTCCTTCAGATCATTTCATCTATTCATTTAGAGTTCGTGATTCAGTACTACCAGTCTTGGGAGGTTGTATCTTTATTTCCGATGTTGATTTTGATTATGTATTTTTTTTTTTAAAAATGGCTTGAATTGTTATTATGATCGGCTTACTTTGTCTTAGAGACTAAGTGCCATCACGATGCCTGTGGTGCAATTTTGGGTCGTGACAAAATTATAAAGCTTCCGAAAGTTCTTGATTTTTATTTAAGTAATTAACAAGATTTAAATCTCAGTCACTTTTCATCGAATTGATTCTCTCAAATAGTAGTTGAAATATTAAAAATCTATAGCATAGATTTTTCAATCTCTGTGGGATGATACCATAAACTATACTAGAGTTTGACAAAGCACGAGCAGGAAAATCCTATACACATTGGCCTCATCAAATTTTTGGCGTCGTTGCCAGGGATTGACATACATCTACTTCAGATTAAATATTTTGTTACGATTTTGAGAATTTATTACTGTTATTTTTGTTTCAGTTAATATTTTCACTAATTAAGTGTTATAACTACTACTGTGATATTAATATTAATGTAATGTTTTTATTCATAATGGTATTGTAAAAGTTATTTTTTTCTTTTGTATTATTTCTTCCTACCAGTTCCATCATTAACTGTTTTTTAGCAAATTATACATACTACTATTAGTACTCTCTCCTTTATCATAATAATAGTGCTATAACTACTATTTATTATTTTTATAACGTGTATATTTATAACTGTTATACTATTGTTAGTTCTTTCATATTGAAGTTTTTTTTACTACTGAAAAATTTTCGTATGACCATTCCAACTATATGTATTATCACTAATTATTTTTGTCCATATATAATAGTATTATAGTATTATTTCTTGTCATAGTTCATTGTTGTATCACTTTGTATTTCTTTATAACTATTATAGATAATAAAATTATCGTTCTATTATTTTTGCTTAGCACCTACTGTTTTTATCATTTTTGTAATTTTTATATACTTATTTTTTTCTTGTACTTTCTTTACTTAATAATTTCAAGTAGTTTATGACCCGCTCTTCTACAAAGGAGTTGATCAGTTACGATCCTGAAATGGAAAGATTTATTCGATTGCGCAGGAAAGAACAAACATCGTCTTCTCAAGGAGCATCTTGTAAAGAAATGGAAAACCAGGAAGCAACGGACATTAACCCAATTGAGATCCCACCACAAGTCCATGTAGAGGAGCAATTTGATGAAGTGGCGCCAAGACCAGCAAACAGAATCCTTAGAGATTATGCTAGACCTGATCGCTTCAACTGTGAATCTAGTGTCAGGAAGCCCCCAGTGGCAACGAACTACTTTGAAATCAGGACTGGCCTGATTCAAACAATTCAACAATCTTGTATCTTTACTGGTGATACAAGTGAAGAACCACATAGTCATTTAATTGATTTTCTAGAACTTGTGGAAACTGCTAAGTACAATGGAGTACCTCCTGAAGCTATCAAGTTAAGGCTATTTCCTTTTTCTTTGAAAGGAGATGCCAAGACTTGGTTGCGAAGTTTGCCTCAAGGGTCCATTACAACATAGGACCAAATGACTCAGAAGTTTTTAAACAAATATTTTTCCCCTGCTAAAACCACAAAGTTAAGACAAGACATATCTAATTTCTTGCAGACTGACACTGAGTCAGTTTATCAAGCTTGGGAAAGATTAAAAGCAATATTAAGAAAATGCCCATACCATGACATTCCTGAACATATGCAATTGTACATTTTCTATCACGGGTTAGAACCCTCTACTAGAAATGTGATAGATGTAGCTGCAGGAGGTTCTGTAATGGGAAAAATCATAGAAGAAGCATTGCAACTGTTGAATGAAACTTCTGAGAAGGCTATCCAATGGCCATATGAGTGTGTAATCATAAAAAAGGCTGCTACGATAAATCAGGTTGATGCTTTAAATACACCAACGCAGCAGATTGTTTCTTTGGCACAAAAGTTTGAATCTTTTCAGGTGAATACACAACAATCAAACCAATCTGAGGCTTGTGACATGTGCGGAGGAAACCAGCAGAACCATGAATGTCAAGCAACCAGTCAAACGGATGAACAGTTAATGTCATCGGTTACAAGCCATATCCTTTTGGGAGTCCAATGGCACAGAAGCATCCAGAATTTCAGTGGAGTAACTCAAATGGTGCAGAAAACTCTTAAAGCTTCCAGAAACAACAGGTACAGGGTCCGACGGGATACCAGATTCAAAATTGTGGGCAACCGAGTTACAGACCTTATCAGCAAGCAAGACCATATCAACAAGCAGGGTCATACCAGCAGAGGCCCCAACAAGCTCATCCGATTCTTGATGACCTTTTATACAAGTATATTAAGGTCACTGATAAAAATATGGAAAGCCAAAATTCATCCCTCAAAAATCTGGAAATTCAGTTAAGCCAATTGCCAGCTCTTGTGTTAGAAAAGATTCAAGGTCCCTTACCAAGCAATACAGAGAAAAATCCAAAGGAGCACCTTAAGGCCATCACTTTACGGTCAGGTAAGGAACTTGATGAACCTTATGCAGACAGACAGGAAAAGAACCAGACAGAACAATAGGTAGACAAGGGTAAGAATATTAAAAAACCATCTGAACCATCAAAGGAGAAAGAAATAAAGAATAAGGAAGAAAAAATTTCTGAAATAATGGCTGCCCCACCTGTGACAATTCCTTTTCCTCACAAAATGAAACGAGAAAAGCTTGATGGTCAATTTTCAAAGTTTTTGGAAATCTTTAAACAGATTCATATTAATATTCCTTTTACTGACGCTTTGTTGCAAATGCCTTCATATGCTAAATTTTTAAAAGAAATAATGTCAAGTAAAAGGAAATTGGAAGAAGTTTTTGTGGTAATGCTTACTGAAAAATATAGTGATATACTTCAAAGTAAGCTACCACAAAAACTTGGTGATCCTGGCAGTTTTACCATTCCATGCACTTTGGGATGAGTATATTTCGAAAAAGCACTTTGTGATTCTGGAGCTTCAATAAATTTGATAGAATTTTCTATCTTTAGAAAATTGGATCTTGGTGAAATGAAGGACATAGGTGTTTCTCTTCAGTTTGCAGATCAAAGTACTAAGAAACCTAAGGGAATAATTGAAAATGTGCTTGTAAGAGTAGATACGTTTATTTTCCCTGTAGATTTTATAGTACTTGAAATGAAAGAATGTCCTGATGAACCGATAATTTTGGGTAGACTATTTCTTGCTACAGGAAGAGCATTCATAGATGTTCATCAAGGACAACTAATTTTGAGGGTTAATGAAGAAAGAGTCATTTTTGATATGCAAAAGATGCTAAGATTTTCAGAAGATGAGGCATCATCTTCATGCTTTTCCATTGACATGATTAGTGATCTTGCAGATGAATTCAAATATGATCAATTAATTTCTGACTCAATGGAAAGATGTTTGACCAAATCAGGCACTACACAAGATTATGATCCCATAATCAGGAAAGAAGCTGAAAGACTGGAAAACGATTCTAAGGTTAAAGAGATGCAATCAGAAGAAGTTCAACCAAAAATTGAACTCAAAGTTCTTCCTTCTCATTTAAAATATGTTTATCTTGAGCAAGAATTATTTCCAGTAATTATTTCATTTTCTTTGACTGCAGAACAAGAAGAAAGACTAATTCAACTCTTAAAAGCACATAAAAGAGCTTTAGGGTGGACGGTACAGGATATCAAAGGGATTAGTCTAGCAATTTGTACGCATAGAATCCTCATGGAGGATAGCTACAAGCCAATAATCCAACTCCAAAGGAGATTGAATCTTGCAATGCAGGAAGTGGTGAAAAAGGAGATCGTCAAGCTTCTAGCGGTAGGTATTATTTACCCAATTTCAGACAGCCCTTGGGTAAGTCCACTTCAGGTAGTACCAAAGAAAGGAGGTATGACAGTTATAAAGAATGAAAATAATGAACTCATACCTATGATGACTGTTACGGGAGGGAGAGTCTGTATTGATTATAGACTCCTCAATGATGCTACCAGAAAAGATCATTTTCCTTTACCATTTATTGATCAAATGTTGGAAAAAATTGCAGGATATGGTTTTTACAGTTTTCTTGATGGCTATTCAGGGTATAACCAAATACCAATTGCACCCGAAGATCAGACAACTTGCACATGTCCTCGTGGAACATATGCCTATAGGAGAATGCCATTTGGATTGTGCAACGCCCCTGCTATATTTTAGCGTTGCATGTCTGCAATATTTTCTAATATGACTGAAAAATTTCTTGAAATTTTTATGGATGATTTTACGCTCTTTGGCGAAACATTTGAAGATTGTCTTTACCACTTGACTTTAGTTCTTAAGAGATGTGAAGAGACAAACTTGATTTTGAATTGGGAAAATATCATTTTATGGTTACAGAGAGAATTGTTTTAGGACATAAAACCACTACTAATGGGATAAAGGTTGATAAGGCTAAACTTAATCTTATAGCAGGATTACACCCTCCCACAACTTTTAAAGGCATTAGAAGCTTTCTAGGTCATGCACGTTTTTACAGACGGTTCATAAAGGATTTTTCAAAGATTTCGACCTCTGACTAACCTCTTGATGAAAGATGTTAAGTTTGACCTTTCAGGTGATTGTATGATAGCTTTTGACACCCTTAAGGAGAAATTATCAACAGCCCCTATAGTTGCGTCCCCTGATTGGAGTCAACCTTTTGAGGTTATGTCTGATGCTAGTGATATGGCAATTGGAGCTATTTTAGGCCAAAGAAAGGATAAGATTTTTCGTCCCGTTTACTAGGCCAGTAGAACACTAAATGAGGTTCAACTGAATTATGCCACAACAGAAAAAGAGTTACTGGCAGTAGTATTTGCATTTGATAAATTTTGTTCTTATTTGATAGGAATGAAGGTCACTGTTTTTACTGATCATGCAGCTTTAAAATACCTCTTAGGAAAAAAGGATGCTCGACCTAGATTGTTAAGATGGATTTTACTTCTGCAAGAATTTGATCTTGAGATAAAAGACAAAAAGGAGCAGAGAATCAGGTAGCTGACCATTTGTCTAGACTAGAAGACCCTCCCCTTGAGTTCACCGAGATAAAAGAAGAATTTCCTGATGAACACATTTTTTCAGTTGACTCTGTTCTGACTCAACCACCCTGGTTCGCAGATATTGCTAACTACTTGGTTGGAAGATGGACACCCCAAGATCTCTCTTACCAACAGAGAAAATTTTTTATTTCTGATGCTAAGTATTATTTGTGTAATGAACCTTGTTTAAAATTTGTGCAGATAATATCATCAGGAGGTGTGTACCTGAAGAAGAAATGACCAAAATTTTGTATCACTGCCATGATGGAGAAATTGGAGGTCATTATGCTGCAAACCGTACGACATTTAAAGTATTAGAGGCCGGATTTTTCTGGCCAACACTCTTTAAAGATGCCCGAGCATATGTTGCACAATGTGACAACTGTCAGAAAATAGGTAATATCACTAAGAAAGATGAGATACCATTACAATCAATACAGGTGTATGAAATATTTGATGTTTGGGAAATAGATTTCATGGGTCCTTTTCCTTCTTCTCATTCATTTGAATATATCCTTGTGGCTGTGGATTATATATCAAGATGGGTTGAAGCCATCCCCACAAGGAAGTATGATGCTCATACAGTGTGTAATTTTCTTAGAAAAAATATCTTTTCTAGATTTGACACACCTCGACTCATCATTAGTGATCAGGGAACTCATTTCATGAATAGGCAATTTTCTGCTTTGCTATCAAAATATGGTGTGACTCACAAAACTGGAATACCATATCATGCTCAAACACATGGGCAAGTTGAAGTTTCCAACCGCGAGTTAAAAAGAATTCTTGAAAAGACGGTTGAAATTTCAAGAAAAGATTGGTCTTTAAAATTAGATGATGCATTATAGGCATACCGAACGACGTTCAAAACTCCAATTGGAACATCCCCATATAATTAGTCTTGGAAAGGCTTGCCATTTTCCAGTTGAGTTAGAACACAAGCTTTTTGGTCACTGAAAGCATTAAACTTTGAATTAACTTCTGCTTGTAAAAAGAAATTTTTTTAGGTTAATGAATTGGAAGAACTAAGGTAGGAAGCTTATGAAAATGCCAGAATTTTCAAAGAAAAAAGAAAAATATGGCAACAATTTGATCCGAAAAAAAAAGTTTCAAAATTGGAGATCAAGTACTTCTTTACAATAGCAGGCTGAAACTATTTCCAGGAAAATTAAAATCCAGGTGGACAGGTCCTTATAATGTTACAGATGTTACTCCAGATGGGGCAATTGAAATTCAACAGATTAATGGAGGAGACAAATTTAAGGTAAATGGTCACAGGTTAAAGTAGTATTTTGGAGGACATTTTGAGCAACAACCATCGGTAACCTTGATATTCTAATACATTCCGCTGTTAATAAATCGAGTTGACGACATTAAACTCGGAACTACAATTTCCTTACTCGTAGCCATTGAGGGTGAAGAAATGGAACTTTATAAGACATATATAATTTGTATGAATAAATGCTTAACCAATTGATCTGGTTAATATCCAGATTATTGTGCAACCGGGACATCCCATGAAGGCCTATACAGAAACAGAGCCATCTATACAGGAGTAATTCCATGGTGGTCAGTATGCCTAAGTCACTCGTTGGTTAGCCATATAATTATGTAAATTAATTATTGGCTCAGGTAAATTTTCTGGTTTATATCAAAACCAGGACCCCATGACTGTTAAGGTGTTAAATTAGTCTAGTCTATTACACATAAAATATGTGTAGTCACAGTTTCTTTCAAGTTTTCTTCTGTGACTGTAAATTTGAAAGCTAAAAAGATTTTTTTTTTAAAGTTCTTTAGTACTTTATGTATTTATAAAAAAACAAAAAAAAAAGAGTTTCAATTTACGTAAATAAAGTAATACTTATATATTATTCTTTTCATGGATTATTATTTTACTGTGGGTATTAAATTCATAAAATAAGATCTCTTCATTTTTTGAATATTAACTATTTTCTTCTTGAATCACATAACTTCCAAGTTTATTATTCTAATTTTGTGAAAGTAAGGATTTGCATCTTCAACTCAAGAAATCATTGGAATTGAGAAGAGTTATGAACATCAACAGGTAGATTCAGTAATTCTTTACTGGAACTTGCTCAGAATATTTTTCAAGGCAAAATAATAGTTGACACTATTTTTTGAAAAATGAATTAGGCTTTCTTTGATTTCATCTTTTTAGCCTGAAAATGCAACCAAAAAAAAAAAAGTATCCCTAGTACCCAACTTTGAATCCTGTAAGCCATTCTTTCTTGTCACACTACAATCTGAACCAGTAAATTATAGGTACCCATGTATATGTAATTACTTCTTCCTAATTGCTTCTCTTCAGCTGAAAATTCAAATATGGAGCTTATTAAAAAAAAATGGCGGCAGAAAAGGCAAAGAAGCAGTATTAGATTCTTCATACATAGAGAATAATCTAGTGTACAGAAAGTATTGTTTAAAAAAAAGAAATTGATTCAAAATTTTAGAATATATATTGCTTCAATAGCTAAA